TGCCGCGAAGGGCGAATGCAATAATGAGCCCCAATGTATCAGAATTTGTGAAATTTCTGGCCATTTCGTCCGATTCACGTATGGTAACAAACAAGGCGGGAAGACCCACCGATACATTCCTCTCTTTTTCTAACGCAGTTCGGCGGACATTCGCCCCTCTTTGTGCTTTACTCACCTGGCGATGTGGTTTTCTCGAGTATTTGTGTATAACCTGTTCCATATTTGTGGGCGAGCGCTGGGGAAACGAGCGGCGATAAATAAGTTCCCTGCGAGAGACACCGGTAGAGGAGTTACCACATGTGCGGCGGAGGAATATCCCTTCGCCGAGATGAATCACCCTGATATTATTTTCTCTCTCATACACTGCTTTATTTCAGTCGACACGTTGCGTGATAAAACGTACTAAAAAATGATGGGTTCGGAGGTATAATCTGTGGTATACTTTGGGATAGGAGATTGGCGAAACACAGGGACTACTTTCTCTGTATGTTACCGCGCAAATACGACAGATGTCACATGGGAAGGTTTCAAATGCCGATTAATGCTTAATTATGCCTCATAGGACTAAAGACTATATCGAGAAAAAATATGTAACTTGTAAACTCTATATGTATAAATTTATCTATAAATGTAATGTTGCGCAATGTTATTTTTACATATTTACTGAACGGTGTTCTCATTCCATTTGAATTTTTCTCCGTACAATTTGTAACAGTTAGAGCACAGAAATAACGAAAAAAACATTAACTATTAAACAAGTCTTATCATTAATCCTCAGATAAAATTCAAAATTACATCATACTAACAAAAAATATACGTTAAGTGAGACTTCTTCCCAATGCGTGCGTGCCATCCGAACTCTTTTTATTTTTTTTTTTCATTTTTGCCAGTCATAACAGACTAAAAAAAACACTCATCGTATCAAGAGTAAGTTGAGCTCGAGGATGAAATATCATGTAACGCTGCTGGTAGTCCCTGTCGTGCATGGTAGTTGTGTTTGCATGAAACCTTGGATGAAGTTCCCAGCCCAAGGTCATTACTTAAAGACAGATCCGGATAAATGACATTTCTCTAATTCAGCGCCTTGGCCTTGAGTTCATTTCATCATTCCCTTCTTATTATTTCTACAGCAGTATTGGGTTTTGTAAATATGCATGGGTTACGTTTGCCCGGTTACTTATTCATCTAGAAATGTGGTATCGATTACGCGCAAATTGGCTGAGTTGAAAGCACTACCAGCTTGAGTGATGTTTTGATTTTTTTTTCTTTTTACTCATACACTGTTGGCGTCTCTGTTCGTATTGGGAAATCAGGTCCTCTTCAGGATATTGCGTGCGTAATAATGATTCAGAATATTTTTTTTCAGAGAACTGTACCAGATGAAGAAATTTTAAAAGAAAAATTAAATTATTTGTGTTAGTGTT